TCAGACATATATGTGTAAATATATTGTCTCACTAGTGTGAGAAACTGAATCAGTAAATAAGATCCAAAATGTACAATAAATATTGTCAAATTGGAAAAAACTGTTCAAAAAAATGATAAGTTGTGATGGGGGAAAGGGGAAAAGGGAGAAAGAAAAAAAGAAAAGATATATATTTATTCACAAGATAGTTAAGATAATTATACAGCTAGTTTCTCTTAGCTGAAAAGAAAGGTTTGTGCTAATATCGTTTGGTCAAGTTATCATACTTATATCTTGTACTCTGAATAACTGCTATGGAAACAACAATACACAATGTATTGATTATTGTAACTCTCCTACTAAACTGTTTTGAAACTGTTTTATTGTTATTTTTTCTCTTTAAATAAAAAAGTGTAATATACATTCAAGAGGAGGGAAGAATAAAATGTGTCAAAAAAGATGTCTGAGAATTTTGAAAGGATGGTGAAGCAAATATTCCTATGAATTGATAAAAAAGTTTTAGCATGGATGTTCTATAGCTAGAGTTATTTAAAACAAAAGAAAAGGAAAAGTTGCATCCTGGATAATAAAAGATAATGCCCATTACCATCAGGAAACATTCGTTTCATCTAAAAAGAAGTTTCCACTAGTGTTTTGCTCTTGCTTTCTTTTTTTATTTTGCTTTACCTGAGAGCATCTTTCATCTTAAAATTTGAGTAGTATTTTCTATGTACAGCATTATAGATTGGTAATTAATTCTCTCAACTTTTTTTTTTTGGAAGAACTGCTTTTTTTTTTTTGGTACTGGTTTTCAAACTCGTGACTTTGTGCTTGCCAGGCAGGCACTCTACCTGCTGAGCTATATCCTCAGCCTTCTCTCAACTTTTTAAAGAATAATTCCATTGTCTCCTGAACTCTCTAGTTTCAATCAAGAAGTAGAATTTATTTTTTATTAGTCATTTCTGCGGTCAGGAGTGGAGGTCCCTGTCTCATTAAGGTCTCATTATTCTAATATCACTGCTGATACAGGTGAAGGGTTATAACATGTGATTCCTGGGGACTGACTCATAAGACAGGAATGGACTTCTGTTCTCATCTTTGTTTTTCTTCCAAATTCAACCATGAGCTTCAAATGATACTTGTTTGGTTAATATTTCATCCCCTATGATTAGGTGTTCTATCTTAAACTGATTTTGCAAGTGTTTATTCCTGAAGATAGAAGTTAGAGAAACCCCCAAAACTAAACAATCATGGTGAGGAGAGTCACATTATTGTTATTCTCTCTTGAAACTAAGTTATGTGCTGCAGAGTCAAATTTTAATACTTTACACTAGTGCTTTCTATTGGGTTTAGGGTAAGTGTAGCAAATATATAAGCAGAAAGAGGCAGTGTGTACTTAGATTTTGATACCCAGGAACCCAAGAGTGCCTGCTTTCCTGGAAATTAGCATTTTCCTTACTTTTTGATCCAAACATTTCATTTCCATTTGGTTCCCCTGCATGAGTCAGAGCAGACCAGTTGATGACTATGAAGGTGGTGTACATACAACCTCCAGTAGGGCATAAATAACATCTATGGAATGCTGCAATGGGAGATAGCAGAGAGAAATTAAATTGTTCTCTCTAGCTGCTGCTACATGGATCATTCCAGATGCACATTTGACAAGAACTCTACAAAAGAACACTCAGTCATTTTTGACACTGAGAAGTGGCCAGCTTTAGGAAGACACTCTTGAGTTTTCCCCACTCCACTGCCTCACTCCTTTTCCTCATTTCTGATTAAATGTTTTCACATAGCTTTTATATTTACTTTTATTTGGCTAAGGGAGAAGTGTTCTTGCCTAATTGAACCATGACCATTTGGAAAACAATGGTAGAGAAAATTCATCCTAGGATATAAGGGCCACTTGGAAAAGTAGAAAGTTTGCCACTTTGGTCTCAGTGAAGGGTAAGGGAAAACGAAGACAGGAAAAAAAAATAAATGGTCAGATGATGATATACATCTGGCCTCCCCATTCTCCACTGAAGTCACAGAGGGCTGTCATATACAATGAGAATAAATCTGAAAGTAGATGTTATGGTTGATACATTGTGTCAATTTGAGGAGTCTAGAGGTCTGGCTAAGTGACTCAGCAGTTCTACATCCTGAGCCTGTGCAACAGGAGGCCACCGAGATGGTGTGGGCCTGAGCGGATAGCCAGCATAAAAATATAAGGAGGGAAAAGAAGTTTGCGCCCCTTCCCTTTTTCCTCCTGTTGATTTTGCTGTCTTCCACCGCCGTGAAATATTACCCTCTGCCATGTGTCACTCTGCCTTGGAGCCAGCTGACTATGGACTGGAACCTCCACAAACTGTGAGCTAAATAAACCTTTCCCCCTATAACTTTGGGTGTCAGGTATTTTGTCTCAGCAATGAGAAAAGTAACCAAGGCAGTAGAGAAAATGTTTTTCCACATATCCCACTTCATTCACCCCCACTTTATTCTCATGCACACTTCTATAGTTCAGCCTCTCGCCAGCTTTTCTTTTTCTAGACCAACACAGCAGCTTTTGTGTTCATTTATTTGAGGTCAAACTTGTCACATGCAACTCTCCAGAAGACTAAGTTAGCATCTGATCATTTGCCATTTTCATATTTAAAAACATGGCTTCACATTTTGTATATAAGCTAGGTAAGGAGCATTAGCTTGGAATAGGAGTTCCTCCAGGTTCTCTTTTCTCTCTGACCATGTTTATTTTTAAGCCTTGTACTTTATACCTAAGGAACCTGGAGCTACTTGTAATCACCTACAGTTTACATGCTATTTATTCCCCTTGGGTCTGTACTTCTCCCATGCCTTAGACAGAATACTCTCTTCTGTTTACTCCTTGCAGCCTCACCGGCTGACCCTTACTGCTTGGGATAGTCTCCCTCCCAGAAGTCTTCCTTAAACTACTGCCACTCTGGGCCAGTTATAATTCCTCTGGGCTACATTAACCCCTTGTGCGTATCTCAGTGGTTAATTATTATCCAAAATTGTTCATTTCCATTTATATATTTGTTTTCCACTTCCCACTAGACAGCAAGTGAAATGATGAGAAGAAACATATTTTACTCATCCTCTCATTCCAAGGGCCCAGCGAAATGTGTGTGTGTTTATGTTAGCATATGAGTGTGTGCGTGAATTTTAGCAATTTGAATCGTTCTATCCATGTCCTTTTTGTAGTCATTTTTGAGAACTGGTAGGCAAAGGCATGAATTTCAGAGTCATTTACTCATAAATTATTTGACATCATGGTCTCTGACCAACAGCTTTATTTTATCGTATTCCCACTTTTACTTGGTAAGATGGGAAATCTGAATGTTCTCTTGCTTCATTTATAAATTATTATGCCTCTCATTTAAAGATATAATAAATGTATATGTGGATATGTGCATGCACAATGTATATTTGGATAAATGTAATGAATGCCATTAAAAAAATACTCTCTTGCTACTTATTCTGAATTGTGGACTTTGCTAAGCATTTTCCCATAGTATTTCCTCTTATGCTTATACAAGCCTGTAAGCCCAGTGGTAGTAACTCCATCTGCATTCTAAAAAATTTACATACATTGTAGAAGTCTGCACCTATAGCAACTGCCAGAACTTTGTGAAAGAGTATTCTGACTGAACTCAAAGCACATGTGTTTTGCACCAGTTTTCTGTCATGGGACCATGTCTGTGTAACAGATGTCCTTGAAGAAAGGGTACTTTATGAGAGAGAAATGCACATATTTTCCTCTTTAAAAATCTTCTTTACAGAAATCTTTTTAAAGAGTTTAATATTTATAAAGAGTTTGAGAATTTAGAAGGTTAAGTTAAATTATATGTAATTTGAGAAAAGAAGTGAAAAAGATGTCTTTATGCATTCTTTCCCTCTCCATCTGTTATTTTGTATCACAGTATCATTAAGTTGAGGGGTGTCATGATTGAGTAAAAGGGTTATTTAACTGGCCTCAAATATGCTAATTTAAAATCAAATTATTCCTATGTATTTACGGCTCTAGTATTACTGTTGAGCTACTTATCACAACAACTCCAGTCTGTCTCTATTTGAAGCATTGTCTAAGTTGGATCATTTTCCATAACTGACAATTGACTAAGCTGATTACAAAAATCATGTAGTTACTCTGGGGATTCTCACTTCCGTCCTGCTTTCTTCCCATTGATCTCTCCTACCCCTCAACAAGCACACAAAAAGAGGTAGGAAGAAAGCATCTGTGCGTCTGTACACTTATTACCATGACGCCTGAAGTTTTTCTGGTTATTGCACTAATCACATCCTCAACTTTCTCTTCCTTGAAGCTTTGGCTCTTCTTCTTATTATTTAACTTAATTATGTTTCATAAAACACCACTGTCTTAGGACTACATACAAATAGTTGAGATGTAGACCTAATATTTTTAAAGGGGATGGCACTTAAGAATTGAAATATTTGTGTTTTATTTTTTTTACACGGGGTCTCACCATGTAGTTCTGGCTGGCCTTGAGCTCACTTTGTAGCCCAGACTGGTCTCCAACACACAACAACCCTCCTGCCTCCACCTCCCGAGTCCTGGGCTTACAGGCGTGCACCACCCCACCCCGGCACAAATTGAAATGTTTGAATAAAAACTATATTATCAATTTCTTAACTTGTATCCTAAAAATTTTACCAATTCCTTGCTTTATTCTATAATATTTTGGCTGCAACTCTTCCTTACAGAGCAAAAAAAGTCATAGGATTTTAAAATCTTATTCTGAATAATATATCAGAGGACCACATTTAAAATGCGTGCAGTATGCAGCTGCTGTAAAAACATTTCATTACTTATGCAGCACTGACCTACAATGCTAGAGAAAAGAGACCAGAAGAGGCTTTCTGGGGAGGAGTCAAACAGAAATTTTAGGAAGATGGAAAACATGTCTTCTACAAGATGCTTAAGTATCATTGAAAGTTGTTGGATCATATGACTTCTCAGATAACTTTAAACCCAATGATTTGCCTATTCAATAAGACACTCAGGAAGTTCTTTCATTTAGAAATAGCCTAGTCAGACCATTTTTTACCTCTTTGTTCCTCAGACTATAGATCAGCGGGTTGAGCATGGGATTAAAAAGACTATGAAAGAGTAGGAGATATTTTTTCTGGTCTTTAGAGTTCCCGTGTTGGGGTCCAATGTACATAACAATAGCTGTGCCATAAAAAAGTCCAACAACACAGAGGTGAGAGGAGCAGGTGGAGAAGGCTTTCTGGCGGCCCTCTCCTGACCTAATCCTCAGGATGGCATGGAGAATATGAATGTAAGATACTACGATTGAGGAGAAAGGCCCCACCAGCACAGACACTGCCCCAGACAAAACCATGACCTCATTAATGTGAGTATCTGCACAGGCAAGTCTGAGAACAGCTATAATTTCACAGAAAAAGTGATTGACTTTCTGAGATCCACAGAAAGGCAACGGCAGAAGTAATCCTAGATGGACAAGGGCCAAGAGGACTCCTACAATCCAGGAAGTCACCACTAGGGCAATGCAGACCCTCCAGCTCATGATGGCAGGGTACCGCAGAGGGTGGCAGATGGCCACATAGCGGTCATAGGACATCACCACCAGGAGTAGACATTCTGTGTGTGCAAAAGTCAAAAAGAGGAAGGTCTGGGTCATGCAGCCAGCAAAGGAGATGGGCTTGTCTGGGCTCAACAGATTCACCAGCATCTGGGGCACCGTGTTGCAGGCGTAGGCAATGTCCACAATGGCCAGGTGGGAGAGGAAGAAGTACATGGGGGTGTGCAGTCTACCATCCAGGCAGATGAGCAGCAGGATGAGCCCATTCCCCAGCAGGGTGAAGGCATAGAACAGGGAGAAGAGGCCAAAGAGAAGCAACTGTGTCCTTGGGTTAAGAGGGAATCCCAGGAGGATGAACTCTGTGATAGAGGTCTGATTTCCTCCCATTTCCCTGTGAAAGAGACAAGAAAGCTCAACAGATCTAAAAACCCAAGGCTGGAAAATGAACATGTTGTTAGCTGTCTTTGTCATTATTTGATATTTCCTAAGAAAAGATCTTCAGTGACCTTCTGGCCTGTTAGTCACTTGCTAAGAGAAAATCATGCTATCCAAATGTAAAAAAAGGAATTTTGTCATCTATAATTTAAATGATTATATTATATTATAGTATTCCACCAATATCACACTTTTCTAACCTACTTTCACCAATGTTCAAAGTTTTTCAATATTTAAATGATGTAGTGATGGACACGTTTTGTGTTTGTGGAGATTGTAGCACACATATTGACGCATACAAGTGCAGACTCTAGTCTTATCCTTCTTCATATATACGGGCAGGAGGATGAGCAGACTGTTATTATGGTCTATTCTACTCTATTTCATTTGTAAAAATGCTGTTTAAATAATTTCATAGTAGTGATTCCCTTCAAGTGAATTAAACTATCTTATTCTATAATTAATTATATAATATAATAATATAGTATAGTGGTATAGTTATATGATGAATAATAATAACAATAATAAAAATGGTTAGTTGCCACCAGTAATCAATCTTTTTTTGTGGCTGCTCAGATATATAAAAATCTTTCCAATCACATTGGTGTTTGCTGGTTGGAATTGTTGTCTAACTTTTAAACAATTCCTTACATCTTCTTGTCTATTAGACTGTATATCCCTTTTGAATCCAGAATCAATCTCAATTTTACATTTAAAACAGGAATCTCAGAAAAATTCATAATAGAATTCTTACTAATGAGTCTCTCATTTTTATTTTCTGGTAAGTTATATTTTGAAGGATTTCATAAGCAAGAATAAACCTATAACCTTATTTCACAGGAAGTGTCAGAATTCATGGTAGAAATTATTGGTAGATGATATGTTAGTCCAAGAAGTAGATTAGTAACAATTGAGATCATCTCCTTAAAAACTGGTTGTTTTATTAGGACTGAACATATACCACAGAATGTTCTGCTTCAGAGATTGAATGACCATTTACACGAGTTGGATTTGTATGTCCTGTGAGAAGTTGAACTAGAACATAGGTAATGTCCCTTCCAAATATAGGAGTCAATGGACATAAATGTACAAAAAATTTTTGGCACATTTTGCGTTAACATTCTTAGAATATTAGAGGCCTGTGGAGATTCCAATTGCTATTTCTAAACTTTCATATGATGAGGACACACAACAAAATAAAGTAAGACAACTGAATATTCCCTTGTCACCTTTCTGTCTCTAAACAACTGAAACCAAAAATATATTTTCCATAGGTGTTTCCTAAACATATACTACATTCTTCTACATGTCCCAGAGAAAGGCATATGAGACAGTTCCTGTTTGCTGTCCTTATAAGCTCTTTGTTAAAAGGAGCTATAAATATGATGATTCACCTGTTTTCTCCCTTCACAAAATTTTTTCACATTCAGAAACAAAGCCTTCAGGATACTATTGTTCTGTAACGTATGCATTTTGTAGTTGATTAGCCCCCTTATTTTATGAGGTAATTACTCAGTTTCACGAGACATTAAGAAACTTTAATAAACAGATCTCAAACAGCTATTTATCTTACAGTTTTAAGCAGAAGTTCAACATCAAAAGTATCACAACACACTCCCTAAGTCAGGTGTATGTAAAAGAACTGAGAATTTTTCTATTATCCTGCAGCTAAGTCTACAAATGCAGAATGGTGACATTAACAGATAATAGCAATTGCACTTCAGATTGTAACCTTCCACTACAGTGTATCTGAAATTGTGTACGAGTGAATATTAGACAATATAAAAAGTTGCCTCAGACTTACAATTGAAAATGAAAGACAAACTGGGTATGAGCTAGATGAAGCTTCACAAACAAGGAAAAAGCTGCCGCTAGTGTTGAAATTCTTTTCTTCCAAAAAGATCATTGGAATTAAAAATGTCCAACAAAGGCTGAAGTATCTCATAACAGATGAACTTCTCTGCTGGGCTACTGACCTCTCAACATGTTCTAAGGTTACAGACGGAGATGGGCAAAGGTCCACGACACACACTGTCTGCTACTGCCTTCCAGGGAAAGGGGCTGTCGCCATACTTAGCTCTGGTTTTCCATGCAGGAGCGTCCATGATACGATGCTGTTGCCACTGCTGCTCTGTTTGTTCATCATCAGGTTTGTGATCATAGATTGAAGAAGCAGTTGAATGGCTTCTAGGACAGAACTCTACCAGCTTGGATTCATTATAAGTTCAAGAACTCCCAAATTTCCCAGTCACTGAACAGTGAATTTAGCCTTTCTATTTGCCTGTTTTATGCTATACTTGACCTGAACTTGTATTCATGTATTACACGTGTTTCTAGAGGCACAGATATAGATAAAGGTATAGATATATAGATATAGATATACAGAATCAATACTCCACAAGGGATACAATTTGTAAAGTTAGACCAGATAACAAGACCTATAGGAGCTATGAGGAAAATGTTCAGGAGTGAGAAAAATGGGTGAAATATCCCAAAGGGACTTGTTAAGCATTTATTTGTAGAATTTAACCAGAGCATAAACAAGAAAGGAGCATACTCTCCAGGAAACAATCTGTATTCTTTATTTTCTAGTCATCTCCAGAAGAGGAAAAACAACAACAAAAGACTATGTTTCCTCCAGGCTCTTGACTGCTATTTTGCTGTTTTTCTATTCTCAAAGGAAATATTTTATATACTAGGAAAATTAGTTGCTCTTTCACAATTCATAAAACTTGGCTTTAAAAGTATGCAACTTTAGATTCCTTGGTAGTAGAATTCTGAGAATCAACTCATTTTTTTGAACTTTTTTTATTTGAAGATTCTATTTCTACAAAAGGAAACTTATTTCTACATAATTTTTTATTTCTACATAATTTTCTATTTCTACATAATTTATCTTCAATTTTTTATTAAATTTTGCTTATAACATTCTCTTATCATTGTTAAAATGTGTATATTTTGATTTTATAATTTTTGTTCCTAATTTTTTATGCAAATAGGTTTTTCCTATTTTTTGTGGATCATTATTTTATTACCTTTTAGAAAAAAAGAGGATTCTGTCTTAATAAAATAATTCCTTATTTTTCCAGTAAAATTTGTTCATATAGAGATTTATGATATCTTTATTTATTTTTATTATGAAGAAAATAAAAAACAATAATAACAACATAGACAAAAACAAAACAAAGGAAAAACAATAAAAATGATACAAGGTTTCAAAACAAAATGATAGGAATGAACAGTGGTTGTTATATTACACATTGTTATCTTCAACGAAGTTGCTCAGATGACCAGATGTAAGAATGCAAGATTAGTAAAACCATTAAAGAGATAAAAGATAATAAAAAACATTAGAAATGATACAGAACTTTACCAAACAAGACGGTAGGAATCCACCAGTAGTTGTTACACTGCATATTGTTGTCCTTAAATTAGTTATTCAGATTACCAGATGCAAGCATGCAAAGTGGTCAAAAAATTTAAGCATTAACTGTTCCTTTCAATAAACCACCAGACATCAGCGGTACCATTATCCCCTCTATCCTTCTGTATACATATATATTTTTTTCTCTTGCTTCTTTCTTTCTTTTTCTCCTTTTCCTCATCCCTGTTGTTCCTTCCTTTGAGCAACTTTCATATCTTTATGTAAATATTGGTCATTGTATTGGTCACTGTTTTAGCTATATTTCTCAGGTTTGACGCTTAAAATTTTCATCATCATTAAGTTCCTTTTTAAAGGACAAGTTATAGAGAAGTGCACTTTTCAGTTTTAAATATTTTATTACCTTTTCATTGTAAACTTTAAACTTACTATCAGTATGGTAAAAGAGTAGGTCCTGGTGATATTATCTCTGAGGAATCTGAGAAGTTTTAGTTTCTTTGTATATTTTCAATATTTGCAGTTGTTATATGGATTTTAATGTAATATATATGCTCTATTTCCTGAGTATATGCTTCTTCATACATCTATTACATTAAGCTTTATTGATCTTGTTTTTATGAATTTATATATTTTTCAGTACTATCTATTGATTTCTGAAATTTTTATGCTATTTCCCCACTGTGACTGGGTTTACTATTCTTTTTATTATAATTGTGTTTTTCCCCTTAATTCTATATCAACACTATGTTATTATCTATATATATTTCTGATTGTTATATTTTCCTGATAGGCTTTTAATTTCGTTATACTGTGGCATCACTCTTTATATAGATTAATATTTTTGTCTTATGTAAATGAATGCCTGCTTGTATTTATGTTAGATTGGTGTATTTACGTATTAAATATTTGGACAAGAAATGTCCTCCAATACCACATTCTAAGTCTCTTTTTGTGATTATGATTTAGTTGTTTTTATAAATAATATATATTTCTATTTTTTGGGTCTTAAAATAATATGAAAATAGTCTCAGGTGACCTATATTCATTCAATATAAATACTGAGATATTTGGACTGGATATCATTTGCGTTTTCTCTTTAGCGTCCTTTTTTGCTCGGCTTTAGTATTAATTCTTTCAGCTACCTTCATAAGGAGATGCTACAGGGTTGTCCATCATTTTTCCACTTCTTTCGCTCCCCTGCACTGGCTTCACTTAACAATCGGTCCCTAGGTTTCTTGGCAACGTCACTCAGAGTACAGGTAATGCATACGCCCACCTATAATTGGGTCACTCTGCAACATACCAGATATTTAAAAGTCATTTTATGGTCCTCTTTCTTTCTGTTCTCATACCGATCAATAGTTTTCATAATCACTTGTATAACTGTGTCACATTTTGCAACTTGTCTTTGAATCATCAGGAATTCCACTGACAAAAAGCACATCACTATTTCAGCGGAGTTTACGGTAACAGAGAGGTTAACGAGTGCTGAAGAACGACAAGAGAAACAATGGCGCCCTCACATGAACAAACAAAGAAGACCAAGTATACAAAGAACAAAGGTTAGGGA